CCCCCACCCCCACCTCCTCCTTCATCCTTTTTCACAAGGGAACCGAAGAGGGAAACAAGAAAACAGTATTATTTAGCCGGCACCGGTTCAACCTCCTTCCCCCCACCCCCTCCACGTCTGCACTCAGAGAGATCACATGAGCACTTGATGACGATGAAGGTGTTATCGTTCAATCGTTGCAACCGTTCAGCCCCCCCTTGCCCCCAACCTCACTACCTCACCTCTACCCTTTCACTCATTTTCATCGCCCACTACCATTTACACGCTCAGAAATATCTACTAGGAACTTGGAAAAGAACATGTTATCGTTCTATAGTTATATTATAAAAGAGCCGTTGAACAACTCTTTCCCCTTCCCTTTCAAACGAAGCTGGGCCATGGTGAGAAATGGTAGCTCATTCTATTTCATGAAACCACTTGCAGGACAAAAAAGATGCATCACACAAACCGTCCACACATGCCACACAGGCTCTCGAGGACTAGAGGTTAAGGTGTTTGCCTCTCATTAAATAGGTCTCGGGTTCGAATCTGGATAGCATCGGGAAATTTTCTTCTCTAAAATGTCTCCTTTCACATCCTTTCCTGCTCTCAAGCAATGTTCTGTCGTCTGCTTTCGTCTTCACCTTCTGTCCCAACCCCCTTACCTCCTTTGCCACAACCTCTGGGCTCCTGACTCTGTCCGCATATCCAAATAAGGAATCACAAACAAACACATATACATTCTCTTACACCCACAGGCAGACACACACAAACAGACCAGAAAAAGACAGAAAACGAACAGACTTAAGAAAAAAAGACAACCCTGCTGAACCTTTAAAAATGTTAAAATTCCACGATTGCAAAGGATTTTGAAGATACCAAGATGAAAGTGAGGAAATTCAATTGAACCTTTGTATACCCATCATCATCATCATCATCATCATTGCCTTTCTCACCCCGAGTCAGGATATAGGCCTCGAACAAACACTCTCCACCTTTCCCTATACTGGGCTATTCGCTTGATGCCACTCCATGTCTTCCCACTTTTCTGTACATCCATTTCCGTGACTCTTCTCCAGGTTCCACGAGGTCTTCCCTTTG